ATGTAAGATATATATATATATATATATATATATATATATATATCTTGTAACATTTTCGATCTTTTACAAAGGCAAATTTAATTTACATAAAAATATAATCAATCCTTACATTTTGAATTTAATTTGTAATAAGAAAACATGTTGCAAGCGGAGTCAATTAGTACATTAAGTGATCACGAAGATGATATTGATGACTTGGATGGTTCCATAGTATGGTCACAAGAAGAACCAATTTCATCCAACGAGATATTAGAATTATCCACACAGAATGAGAAAGACAGCAGCTTAGTTACTTTCTGTCGATTATGTGCTGGTCAAACCAATAACCCAATATATATCTATTCTGAATACGGAGAATCAATGAAATTGGCACATAAAATAAATACATGTTTAAGCATTAAGGTAAGATGTTTTATTAAAAATAATTTATAAATCTGTGTTTTTTATAAGTATACAAACTTCTTTGTATTATATTTATATTATAACATCTATAAATATGTGTCATACATTTGATTATAATTTCAGATTAAAAAAACAGACCCATTACCGAAACAGCTTTGCTTGACATGCGTTGAAAAAATAAATTGGTGTGACAAATTTGACACGCAATGCATTAAAGCAGAGGAAACTTTGTCGATGATGCTAAAGGAGAAGCAATCTTTTAATATTTCCAATCAATTTTTTTCTGACCAACAATCCTGTCCCTTATGTATAAAAGGCTACATGAATATATGTGAAGAGATATTCCAGGATACAAAGGATATGGAGTTACATGAAAATGATATAATCTTAGAAAGCAGTGATGAGGAAAATATATTTAATAGTGCAAAAGTTAATAAGGAAAACGGAAATCATTCTATCACTTTACAGTATCTAGGGACTAGACAAAAATATTTAAAATGTGGAGCGTGCATGAATCTTTATCATACCAAAGAGACGCTAGACGGTCACAAGTGTAAGCCTACTATACAGAACACAACAAAGCCATACAGATGTCTCGTATGTGACAAAACATTTACTTTTGAGGAACGATTGAACTTTCACATGCAGTTTCATAAAGGCGCGAAAGCGTTATACTGCGAAATCTGTAAGATAACGTTTGGTAAAGAGCTGAAACTGTTCTATCATTATAAAAGACAACATTCTAAGGATATTAATGTCTCGTGTCTGCAATGTGGAAAGTTATTTGAGAATCAGGAGGCACTTCGAGTACACGTTTGCGTCGACGGTAAAAATCGGCCTCACATCTGCGAAGTGTGCAACAAAGGCTTTTTCGACGGCTATACTCTGAAGCGTCATGTAGTGACACATCTGCCCGAAAAACCCTATAAGTGCTCGGATTGCTCGAAGAGCTTTACGCAAAAGTCAAGATTGAATAAGCATGTCGCGAGCCACTGCATAGTCATCGAAAACAGCCAGACAGTTTGGAAATGCATCCAGTGCGGCGAGGTATTTATCTCCTGTGACGATGCCGATATCCATTATAAAGTAGTACACGAGGATAAGGTGACGTTGATCGAGGAGTTGCTAACGTCGAAGTTGTATCATTGCGAGTTTTGCAACAGTTACTTTACTGATGCGGACAATCTGAAAATTCATCAAAGCCAGCACGTCATCGAAAGACCGTACACATGTAATAAATGTATGGCCACTTACAAATCGTTCGCGGAAGCTGCTCTGCATTGGAAGGAACATCCCAGGTTGTTTAAAGTTCTTGTTGTCTTTCTCTGCGACATCTGTAATAAAGACATGAAGGAATTATCTTTGCTGTACAAGCATAAGCAAAACAGGCATGAGCGTGCATCTAGATTATCCGAGTCGGGCGATATGAAGTTCATCTGCGAGCTCTGCGGGGGCGTGTTTGACAAAAGCGTGGACATACAGAATCACGGACGAGATCAGTGTTCCAAGTTTCCCTGCGATATTTGTGGAAGTCTGCTGCCTACAGCGAACTCGTTAAACGCGCACAAGAGGCGACATAACGGATTGAGACCGTATGTCTGTAATATTTGTGGAAAGAGTTACACTCAGTCAAGCCATATGTGGACGCACAAGAGATTCCACATGGGCATCAAGCCTTACGCCTGCGAATATTGCGATCAGCGTTTCACAATAAAACCGGACCTGGCAGATCACGTTAGGAAGAAGCACACGAGGGAGAGGCCGTTCAAGTGCGACGTGTGCGAAAAGGCTTTCCTGACTGGGTCCGTGTTTTATCAGCACAGATTAATACACCGTGGCGATCGTCGATACAAATGCCATTACTGCGAGAAGGCTTTTACCAGAACGGAGGCTTTGAATAATCACATCAAGATACACACCGGAGAAAAACCGCACTCATGCGACGTATGCGGCAGGTGCTTTCGACAAAAAGGGGACATGAGAAAACATAGGCGTACCAAACATGCCTCTGAACAAGATAAATCTTGAAAGTTGTACTTAGATATCACGAATCATTAACTTTTTCATTCTTACATTTGCATTATACAGATAAGTAACTGGTTACGTATGTGCCAATATATTTATGCAAAATAGTTGTATTATTTTAGTAGATACGAATCAATTATTAAGTTGATCTTTTCAATAAATGATTAATGTCCATTTTTTTTAACACAGATTAACTTTAATCTCGATTTGCTTTTTATCTTTGTTTAGCTGTAAAAATTAAAAAAAAAGAGTAGATTAAATTGAGACGTAAAAATTAACGTTAAAATTAATATACGTTAAAAGAAATGGACGTAAGTGCTCCGAAATAGTTAAGATACATTAAATTTATGTTTTCATAAGCAATATAAATGAATATAAACAATTATATAACAATTATAAATATTACATATGATAACAATATAATTAATATAATTTATCTTCTAGGTTTCTTTATATTTATATAAAGATTAATATAATTCAGTATTATACTATTATAATATAATTCAGTATTAGATATAAACATATAATATATATTTTACATATAATATATTAATATATATGTTGTACACATTCGCATTAATGTTACAATGTACAAGTTAAATATGATACATATCACATTAAAATTAGTTTATGTCCATCGTGCATATATCGTACTTTTGTAAAAAAAAAAAAAATTACGAACTACTTATCTATTTATCAATTTACATTATTGACGTTATTTTATGATGATCATGCGAAAATTTTGAGCGCAGGTCGCGCGTATGTGCGTATATACGTACAGGTGCGCGCCGTTACGTCGCGCACGCGCCCGCGCGTCCTGGAACAGGTGATGTTACATACCTGCGATGTCTCATGACCACCGTCATCGTGCATCCAATCGTCACGCACGGACGATCTGCTGCTGGATCCGACACTTGGCTGTGATAACTACCGAGGCCCGTGCACGCCGAGATGACGGTGGCAAGGTAGAGTCGTGCCGACAGGCGACATCCCGAGATTCACGAAGTGGATTGTACAGGTACGTGATGATGGTGGTAGTGGTAGTGCTGATGATGATGGTGTTGATGATAGCCCAGAGAGAACGAGGCTAGAGAAGACGAGAGTCATGTCGTCGTCGTCGTCGTCGCGCGTTTCGTCGATTGTCCGTTGTGATACGTTCTCTCACGTGACGTACACCTTCTGAACCACGGGAAAACCCATCATAAATCCGTCCATTCGGAAGCGCGACTTAACCTTAACGCGTTTGACATATGTAACGAATGGAGAGGAAGGAACGGAGCGTAGTTGTAAACAAAGCCCGTTTTCGCGAACGACGACGCTCGAATGTTCCGCGGATTGTCTTCACGTGCGATAGTTCCGCGTTGTTTCAACGTAACGAGAGACCTCGGCTATCTCACTCCTATTAATAATTGTCTTTTCATTATTCATACTTTACTTTTCTTAATTTCATTAATATTTGCAAGTGATAAATTGTTTTGTCGTTAATGTTCCCTGAAACAGGGAGGAATCATGGCTTTCCCGCCTTTAGTCAGTTCCACGCCACCACCCTTAGATAACTTTGGAGAGTCCGATGAAGATGAATTTGGAGACTTCACGACTGGTGGAATAGATGGTATTTATGTGCAAATTATTAACCGTTGTGTTGTCGATACAAACCATAAATATAAATTGTAATCTGTTCTAGTTGGACTGCATTAAAACTTTTTCTTTCGTCAAACTTCAAATGCAATTCAGCTATAAGAAATTGACCTCATATTTCATGTTACAATTTAGTTAATTATCTTTTAATTTATATAATTTTTATTATAGGTTTATCTATTTCATCAGAGTCCCCACAGAAGATTGTCACTCCGATACAAACACCAATAGCATCACAGAATGTTTCTCCTAGGATAAATGGTAGTAATGAGTCACCAGTATTGGATAATTGTCTTAAAATAAGCGAAACCTTAAAATGTGGTGTTATTGATGACCTGTTGATTGTCGAAAAGGTGCAGAATAATGTGAGCCACATAAAATTGAAGGATAGAATAGATAATAGTAATGTATTGGAAAATACTTTTGAAGACGCTAGTATAACAGAACACAGTGTGTTAGATTTATCTAGGAATGGAGAGTCACGTAACGTTGAAACTAGTAATAGTATTGATCACGTTTGTACTCAGAATGTTTTAGCTAAGGAGAATTTTGTTGATACGGATGTAATTAGTAGTAATAATAGTAGTTTAGCCGATAGCGTAAAGACAGTCAGTGAGCAGGAAGGATCATCGAATGATTTGGAAGCAAACGACGAAATAGAACCCGTGAGTTTGGATTTGGAAGATCCTACGAGTACGCCGGACATTCTGCAACAGCTGGACGACGATTTCTACAATTACGAACAGTTTAAAGATTCCACCAATTGGGATGATACTGTCTGCGATAAGAAAACAGATGTAACTGTGACGGTTTTGCAAACGGATTATTTGAATGATGATCAGCCTAATTCTGTGGACGCAGAATACAATATAAAGGATGAAGTAGAAAAAACTTACATGCCATATGGCGAAAATGAAACCGGAGTTAATGATACTAATGACAAATCTGCCTTCATCCATGATGAAAAGACAATTTCCAGTTTTGTTACCTCGCAAGAACTTAATGTAGGTGATACCGGTGTTTTTAGGCAACCGGATCGCGAATTCAGTATTCAGCCGAAATATATAGAGATGTACGATGTAGTGTCTAGCACCGAAACGAATAATGAAAAGTCGAGTAAAACTGTGAACGAATCTTTCACTTTTGATTTCACTTTCGACGATGACACTGTAAGAGAGGAATCAAATCTAGATCATACATCCGTACATATGCATATTGAAGACATTTACCATCGAAACTCTAGTAGAAGCGACGTATGTACTTTTTCTAATAACTTCTGCGATATAACTGACGTAAACAATACCATACAATCAAAAGAGAGTGAATATGTAGCTGTAGGAATGAAGAATCAAATTGTTCAAAAAGGTGTGAACGGAATAAAAGAGGAAATTTCTGTTTACGAGGAAAAAAAATTGAATAGTGAAGAAATGTGCAAACAGCACATTCCAGAAAATGGTTTCGACGCACACAATGTAGATAATTCCGACTTTACAGAATTTATGGAGCATAGAGATTTTGATGATGTATCAGAATTGAGAAGTAATTTTAATCCAATATCCAGAAATAGCACATACGAGACAGTACAAATTCATGATTTACACACATCCGATGCGTCTTGTGTACAAAAGTTTTCATCAATTAAAGAAGCTTCACTGCCATCTACTAATACATCCCTCGACTGCTTAAAGGATAAAGTTCATATTACGAATACTGCGAATGAAGAATGTGCCACATATGAAAGCGAAAATTCTGTAGTGTACTTTAGCGATGGCGAACTTTATGATTTTCATTTACGAAAGATCGAATCAGAAGCCAAAGTGCAAGAAAATAGTTGTCCTGGATTTGAAAGTATAGGAAACGAAGATGACGATTTTGGTGATTTTACTAATTTTTCAAGCACAATAGAATGGAAACCTGACGATGCTAAGAAACTGAAGGTACCTAAAGACGATGACGATTTCGGAGATTTTAGTAATTTCGAAACATCAGCGGGAGTAGTAGAAACACAGCAGTTTAGTTTGAAAGAATCTATATGTCGGATAGAAAACAAGAATGTGAGTTTAGGAATGTTTGTGTAATACAAGAAAGCTAATAGTTGATAGAGTAATGAGTATATTGTTTTAATGTAGATTCTTAGTCTTGCATTGAATTTAAATAACTTGATGCGATGTCCTTTAATATAAATTGGTCAAAACAATTTCAGGCCGCGAATAAAATAGAAGATATAATAACAAATATGTTCTCCGTGGTTTCTGAACATCACGAAGTTGAGTTGAAACCCCTAATAGATAAAATGGATAAAGTTTGGCAGAATGTCAAGAGCGTGGAAGAAACCAATGCCCTTACTTATCAATGGACAAATAGTAGCAGTAACAATGTCCTTTTGAATGCTCTTGGCATTGATTCCCGGAATATCGTAAGTGTACATAGCTTTTTTATTAAAATATTTTATAAAAAAAATATATAACGATATTGGTTGCGAATTTAAAGCTATTTGGACCGAGATGGAATCCGAATGTACCGAGATTTGCTGCAAATCTTGGTTTTACTCCGTTAGAGCCAATTAAAGCTACTGCTGAGCCTCACCAGTCTTCTGCTACTAATACCAGCAAGACACAAGGCGCAGCTTGTTCAGATGTAAGTTGAGATTATATTAATATAATATGTAAGTAATCTATATATTAATTAATAATTGTAATATATTAGGAAGTACCTGCCGCCCAATTTGATTGGAATAGTTCTGGCCTTGTAAATCCTCTAGATGCTAGTAAGTATCTATTATAATTGCGTAATTAGCGATTAAAATTGCACTGAAGAAGAAAAAAAATATCAATACACATGCTTTATATTTTGCTAACTGGCTATATAACAAGATAGAAAAAAACAAATATTTTCTGAATAATTTTTTATATGTAGAAGTAGTATGGTATTGTTATATAACCTGTAGAATATGTTGAATTTTATCCTAAATGTTGCAAAAAATAACAATACAGGTGGTGGGTTGTCCGCTCTTCTGCCTCTGGATTTGTTGTGTCCGTTTGATCCTCTACTAACACCCCATTGTTCCACACATTCCGAATCCTATCATCAGTCAGCTTGCTCAACGAACTCTGTTTACTGTAAGTGCTCAAGCTGTAATGTCTTTGTCGTTGCATTAATAGCAAGATATTATTTTTATCAACATACATTAAACATTAAAGTAAACTTATCATGATTTTTATAATTGCATTTATATTTTCAAACTCATTTAATAATTTTAATTAATCGATGATTTCTATTATTAATTCAGATTCATCAGAAGCCCAAGAATCAAGCAATCAATCAAGCATAAAATCACAAAACCTATCCGACCTTACTAGTAGTTCGCTAAAACAGCAAAAGACATCAAAGATAATAGAACCGTTGCCAGGGCCCTGCACAATGGAATGGAAGAAGAAAACCGAGCAAGATTTTGGAACTAAACATAGAAACAATTCGTCGCATCGAACACTAAGAAATGTACCGTCGACTAACAATAAGTCGTTTCCAATAAGCAATAATATTTCCAAGGCACACGAATATCACAAAAAAATATCAATAAGTAAGAAAGAGAATATGCAAAGTACGGAACATGTGGTCATGGACCGATATGGGCGACCGATGACCGTACAAGCTGAGACCTTGAAAGTTTTGAATCAACTACCGGATTTATCGTTCTTGAACGCGAGAACTTTGTTGTTCAATCGCGAGCAAAGGCAGATTGTGCCAGATCTGGGTGCTATGATAAATCGAAAGATGCCCGGCTGAGTAACATCGGTCTGAATGCGAGTTTGAAAGGGCAAACACGAGAGGAAACCTCCCAGAGAACCTGTCTTGGATGTTTCTAAATGACCCATACAATCAAAACGTACTTCTGCTACCTTTCAAACCTGTGTTCAGACCAACTTTTGATCCAAACCAACCTTGGCTCTTCCACAATGGGAAAGAATAATGATATGCTGTGTACGTGAAACACTGTCCTATATTAATCTATTCGCTTGCGGCACCGTGCAATGCATTTTGACATTCCGAACCATCATTATTTTGTGATTCTACTGGTATTATTACCGAATTCTTTAAAAAGTCTTTATTTTATTGCGTAATTATAATTTAATATTGTATCGATAGAAATGGCACATAAGTTTATTTTAACTCAATATTTGCTATAATCTTGAGGACATTTTATGTCCTCAATTTGATAGGTTTAAGAACTCACACATTCAGCCATATTCTAGTCTATAGTTCTTAATGATAAGTTTTATGTATTATATGTTAGAACAGATTCCGTTCAAGATATATATTTTTGATGGCAATTAAGTAGTGCCAGAGTATAGCTTGTTTATATTATATTTCCTATTAACATTTTGAAACTACTTTTAGATGAGCAAATCTGAATAATTATCTTACATATTCGAGAAATTGTGCGTACTTTGTACGACGTTCATCTGTTACGAATTTCAAAAACAATCGTAAATATCTCCAGTCATATAGAAAACAGAAACACATATACACTGCACACATACTTAAATACATAAAAATTATATACTAATTGTAAGTCAATTACCGTAGATTGATGATTGATATCTGTAATGAAATCGTCGAGTGATACGTATATCAAATTCGCTTGATGCTTTTATTGCACATTTTGAATTTCTACTGTGGAACATAATGTACTTAATTATGTAAATCTTGGCATTTGCATATTGATCATTAGAGCGAAATGATAAATACTATTACCATTATTCGTTATTTATTGACTAATGATAATATTGTAATATATATTTTATGTAAAATATTATGGATAATATTAACAAACACATAGGCAATCTTTAATGATCGAATTGTTGTAACTTTTTTATCATTTTTACAAAATCATTCCTTGCAAATCTCAAAATCCTCGATCATTTTTCTAATCTCTGAATTTAATTTTTTATAATTGTCACAGACAATTAGCATTAAATGTGAAAAGCAATTTATTATTTCATATATTTGTTTTATACTAAAATCTTCTAATTATCATTAATTTTAACAATCTATATCAAGATTAAAATTAGGAGTTGATTCTATCTGATCATATTTATAAAATTTTTTACAAAAAATTTTATAAACTATATATA